AACTGATATAATACTTTTATGTGCACTAAAAACATTTTTGAAATATTTCTTTTTAAAACAAAATTTATTTGATTTTACAAAAATCTTAATTTTCCTCTTAAAAATTCCTCTTCAGTCAATCGAAGAAGCCAGAATGTGTTGAAGGCATGACATTTAAATGATAAAATTCTCTGAAATTTAATAATAAAATTAATTTAAATATTTTTAAGTTTTCAGCTGCCTTGATGCCATTCATTAACAAGGATAGTGCATGCATATGCCAACTGCAATAAAATAAATATAAACTTAATGCGGGGCTTTCAAAATTTAATTAAATTTTATGCTCACGCGATAAAATAAATTAAATAAAGGAAATTAAATAAAGGTAAGTTATTTGCATTTAATTAAATTATTTTAATATTTTTATGAAATTTATAATAAGTGTTATTCGTTAAAGTTATTTATGCAACTCGTAAATGGAAGAACACAACCTACAGAATTTTCCAAGTGTTTCGCGTGTCGATGTCCAATTTACTCAGGTTTTAAAGTGATTTGTTACATTTTTCTGCGAAAGCAGTAATCAAATGTATTTAACTCAAATGGCTTGGAAAATTCATGCAAATATTCTAAATAATCTTAAAAGTGAAATTTATTTATAACGTTTCACTTGCTTAAGTGAATTTTAATCAATAACACATGCAAGCACAATTCTACTTGCTTTTGTAGTTAAGGCTACACTCAAAAGCAGAAATTTCAAAAAAAAAAAATGCTTTTGGAAGCACTAGCATGCTCTGTAACTGCAGTTCTTGCTAGAGTGGAGAATTATGAATTCAAAATATAAACAGAAATATATACAAATAATTGAAATTCCTTTGTCGATTGCTTTGGTCTGGGATAAAATAAATTTATTGTATATATTGTGTATTCTATTTTTTAATTAAATTCCTTCTATTTGGTTTCCTTTGCAATAATTACATATAAAGCTATGAAATAACTACGTTTGTAATATATAGCTTCTTAAAAATGTAGCTTAACTCTTTTCAAATATACAGCAAATGATTCAAATGACGAGTTATTACTATTAAACAATGCCTTTTAATTTCAAGTAAATAGATTTTATTATTGAAAGTTATAAAATAATTCTTCTATATGTTTGAAGTAAAATAATACCCATTTCGTGGTCTTGATTTGACAGCACTGTATCGTTGACGTCTGTTAAACAAAACCATCGTTCAAATTATTATATGTTTAATGTAATGTTTGCCATGTTATAGCATGGATCATTCAGGTGCCATTGAATGTATTAAACTGATAAGAACTAAAATAAATCAGTGATGATTTTTCAATTTGAACTTTCTTTTCTGATTTATCGATTGGTGGATCAGCACATAAAACTGGTACAATTAGGGCAATGGACATTTATAAGTAACTGTCAAAAGCTGTACGGCATAAGACATAGTCTAGAGGTTTGATAGATCAATGTTATTTCGAAAGTGAAGGAAGTACAACATAAACTGTTAACTCTAATTGTCACAGTGTTTTTTCTAGTATTAAATTGGTATAGCATTGTGTAAGATATGTGGTTTCTACTAGAAGAAACCTCAGCCCGTTCTGTTCTGGCTTTGTTACGTAGCAGATTGACACAAATCGTCTACACTGATTACTACAGCAAATTTCATTTAGCGTGAATTTGAAGATATGAATGGGTAAGATAAAATGAATAGAATAGGCTTTGCTGCGCGTTTTAGTACTATAAATTAACTACAGAAATTATTCGATTCGTAAATAAGGGATTTATTTTTGAGTCAGAATGTTGGATCACACAAAAGATTGTACTTATGTGTATAATCTTTAAATACTCGATTTTCATTTTCAAACAGATCATTCTCCAAATTGTGGCTAATTTATTGCCAACAACATGTCAAGAAGTCATTAAAGATTACCATTAAATGATTCAGTACTATGAGATCATGAGACTTCTTAATGGACATTTGAATAATTTCAGAATAAATAACAAACAGTATATTAATATAGAAATTTCTTCGAAATGTCAATCACAAGTAGAGTTTATGAGTATTTACATTTGGTTTTAGAACAATGAACTTTATAACAGATTTTTGTATAATATGCAAATATTAGCAGTGCCACATGACTTAATAATAATAATACTCACCAGGAGAGAGTCATTATAATATTTAAGTTAAGTCTTGAATCACATTTAAACTCAGTGTATCTATATAATGTTTAAAATGAGCCTATAGCGAATAATTTTCTTCCAAAGACTTTCGGATCATTTCAGTATTTGAAAAAAAATTATATATTCTAAAAAGTTATTATGCATTAATAACGAATATACATACGAATATATATAATCGATTATAGAAAATTTCGGTTCTTAAACCTATCCTTAATGTGATTGATCCAGAATTTATGTATATATATTGATATACATAAATATAGTTTATAAAAACGATTTAAAGAAAATATCATCTCCTTAAAAACTCATGTTGCATTAATTTAAAATACATATATATACGTAAACATCTATAGTTCCTTACTTGATTTCGGAATAGACTCAACCATCCCTCGCTATGCTTCTGATCCAGAATATATACATATTAAGATAAATATAATTTTCAAATATAAATTTAAAAAAAATTTATCTTGCAAAAAAATCATGATGCATTAATAATAAATATTTATATACATAAATATAGTCCATCGATTAATTTCGGAAAGTTATAGTCTTTTAAACCGATCCCTAACTATGTACCTGATCCAGAATTTTTACATATTGAGATATATATGATATATAAAAATTTGAAGAAAACATTACCTTTTTAAAAACTCACGCTACATTAATTTAAAATATATATATATACATATGCGTAAATATTTATAGCCCCTTGATTAATTTTGTGAAGTCTCAGCCTTACAAACCCATCTCTAGCTATGAATCTAATCCAGAATATGTGAATATAATATAAATATAACTTATAAATAAAATTTTTAAAAAATTTTTATCTTATAAAAAACTCATATTGCAATGAGATGGACATATAGATATAGTCCATCGATTAATTTCGGGAAGTTTTAACTATGTTTTAACAAATTTCATAATTATGTACCTCATCCAGAATATGTTGATATAAATATAATAATCCTAAAAAGTAAATTTTAAGAAAAGTAAATTTTAAAATTAAATATTGCTTTAAAAATATTCGAGACTAATATTTGAAAAAGGCACTCAAAGGATACCTCCTATGTTGGTAGCACTGAACTGTATTACATATAAAATTTAAGTGAGGTCCGTTGTTTAGTATCTTAACATTAGCTCTGATTCTAATTTAGGTTGATTTACGATCCAACAAAGCTATTGTTGTGCTAGTATTGTTGACAAAAAAAATCTAACATAGGATTACGGGATCGTCTAATCACCATATCTACTTAGTATGGTCAAATGTGTCCTCTTTCCGTTCCCAAACCTGAAATGACTATTAAAAAAAAGCCAATTCGAGTCGATTGTGGTCATAATGGATATTTGTTAAAAAAATCTGACGATCATATGATAATCAGCTAATAAAAATTGAGCAAATTATTGGATTAATGATTTCTTTACATGTTATTTTTAATGATTTGATTAATATTTACATATAATATATAAAGAATTTTTTTTTTAATTTTATACCCTTTAGGTTTATAATCAAATTCATTTATTTAACAGTTTACAAATACAATCTCCAACTCATCTCATTGTTGATATCCATAATGAAACAATTTCATATGAAATGCATTCATACTTTTTGCTGAAAAAAATACTAAAAAAAATGTAAATAATATTATTTCATTTTTAAAACATGCAACAGATTTTACCTACACTAAAACTAAACACAATTTCGAAACAAATTATATATAAAACTGAAGTAAACGCCCTCACACAAAATAATTGAAATTACTTTTAATTGAAATTCGAACCTCTGATATGAAATGAAATATCTCTGTTTGCTATCCAAATTCAATCAATTCATGTAATAAATTCAATTTGAATATAAATTACAGGTAAAAATATTTTGCTATTAAATTAAACTACAACTAAAATAGTTAACAATAAATCAATGGCATGAAGTTTATTAAGAGTGAAGTAGAGTAACAAACTACCAAATATACAAACTACCAAATAGACAAACAAACAAATAGACAAACAGACCGACTTTAGTAATACTAAAGTCTGAATAAGAAACGATTCCTGCTCATATGTTAGAGCGTACACAAAAGGACTATCGGAAAAGAGGAAGTATATCCTTTTTGACAAAATTTTAAAGTCTTGCTTGTGCATGTGCATGTGCATGTGCATGTGCAGGCAGTGAAACAGTCAGTGAGGTGAACAGACCAAAACTTAATCCCAGACAACGCATCAATACGACTGCTGAGCATGCATTCATAGATTGGCAAATGTATTTACAATACTCACATCTATGTTTGTATCTGCAAAATTTTAATTTTTGGTATTTTCAATAACGAAAGATTAATTTTTGGTTTCCAGCATATCATCATTTTATGCCGAACTTTGGCATGTCTGTATTGTTGGTTGCAATCGTAAAACTTTTAATAGCACATAATCCGTTTCAATCGTGGTAATTGATTTTCCATTGCAAGTGTTATCGAACAGAAATAATGAACTTTTACTTGACAAAGGATTGCTTTCCAGACGGAACTACAGACACTTCCATTTAAATTATTCTTATGGAAATAATATTCTTTAATTTTGTATATCCTACATACGATGTATAAGAAGTAGTAATTATATAAGTTCATACAGTGTTCTTAATTAATTAAGATTGTGTTTGATTTAAAATTGAATTCCATTCAATTAAATTTCATTATTTAGAAATATATCTTGTATATATATACACATATGTATATGCAAATGCATGTATTAGTCAGTAGTTTTGTTAATTAGCTTCTTCGAAAATATGAGTAGATAAACATTAACTTAAGATGCTTTTGCGATAGTATTCAAAATCTTTGTTTTAAATGCCTATACATACGAATAAATAACAATAAACCCATACATAAAATAGTTACATATAGTTAAAGGGAAAAGTGTTCATTGACGCTAGGTGTACTCTGTATTCGGACAGAGTTTCATACACTCGGTATGAAATATATCATTATAACGAGTATAATGAAGAACATATGATGAACAATAATATATACATACCTTAGCATCACTACTAATTTCTGTTAAATATTGTTACTTATAAAAATATTACGGAGTTACTTAAATAATACTTATAGATATATTATATGAACCACTATTATAGTACGATTAACCTAAAGTTAAAAGTCACATCAACCAATAGTCTCGACGAAAAAGTTTAGTTGACTTATAAATGTATTCAGTTGTAACTATAGGTTAGGTTAAGAAGACGACTTAAGGATCTAGTTAGGCCAACTGGCCCCGAATGGCCCACTGTGTTACCGTATAAAAACTCAAAGATTTAAAAACTACCTTAAGCTTTTAGCAAAGCTTGGAATGCTTTTTTGAAGAAGGTCCTGAAGTTGGCCCACTTATTAAAAAAAGTAAGTTCTTGGCATAGTCATTCAACTCCGCACATGCGGTGGGCAGTGACAAAGCAGATGTGAGGCACTTTCAAGGTCCTCTCTAGACTGCGACACTAAACGAGAGATTCCAGTCTATAAACTATACCTATATATAGTTCTTAACTATATATTCGAAAACCAATGTTATGTGAATGAATTATAGAATGGCAAAGAATCTTAGTAATAATCTTAATACTATTAAATTTATGTTATTTTTGGTAGTTGATTTTTAGTAGGGAATGCATATAGAAGAGGAAACACACTGTGCTTTCTAGCAACTGGAAAATAAAAAAACGCAACAGACGTGCTGAAGGCTAAACGTAGTCTACTGTTTTAACCCCCATTGTCTTAATCAATCATTGGGCTTGCTACTTAGTATCTTAAATAGATAGTTGTGACTTCTCCTACAATCGTTAAATGACATTAATAAAAATAAAATGACATTAACAATAAAAATATTCTTATATAATTTAGCTTAAAGTGAATAGTTGAAATATAATATACGAGGGCGGTTTGATAAGTCAGTGACTTTTTGAATATCTCGCGCAGTTATTCCAAATGCAACAGTGCTACCGTCAGCTGTAATCTACCAGTGGTCAACTTTCTAATTTTAAGCAATCTACGTCGTTCAGTTGGTGTTTGATAGCCGTTCAAAACAAACAACCTCGTGAATTTTTACGAAAATGGAAAAAAGTGAATTCCGTGTGCTGATTAAGCATTCACCAAAATCCACGAATTGGGATACGCACTGCTACCCCATCCAGCATATTCTCCAGATTTAGCCCCCTGCGACTATTTTCTGTTTCGAAACCTAAAGAAATGGCTGGGAGGTAAGAGATTTGAGTCGAATGAAGAAGTCATTACCGCAACAAACGCGTATTTTGAGAACTTTGAGAAAACCTATTATTTGGAAGAAATGTGAAAATTAGAAAAAAAAACGCTGGACTTAATGTATCGAGCTAAAACGTGATTATGTAGAAAAATAAAATGTTTATTTGCCGAAAGAAATGACTAAATGATAAGTCACTGACTTATCAAACCGCCCTCGTATATTATATAATATAAAATAATACTTCTTTGGTTAAATTATTATTAAAATTTCATTCTTATAACAATAAAGAAACAAGTGCTATATGTATATGATTTATGCCAAATATTCATGGCCTACTGAAAAAAAAAAATTTTAAGTAATTTTATTTGACACTGTACTGATATAAGTACATACTGGAATATATACATATATATAATTTGCAAAAATTCAATAAAAATGTTAATCCATATAATATATCATCGAAAGTACATATTTTCAAAATATTCACGAAAATACCTGAATTTGGAAATTATCAAATAAATGTGATTTGTTGCGCTTATCAAAAACAACAAAAATTGATATTTAATTATTTTCTGCTTAAGAAAATATAAAAAATTCATATCCAAAATTAGTTCCAAAATGAACTTTGAAGTTTAATGAGCTACTCTAAAATGAAGTTAATATTTTTCCAAACATATTTTTTATTGCTTGTAAACATAATAGTTGCATCCCAAAGTGGAGATAATGTGTTACGAACTCAACTAATACAAGGACGCATTGTGGCTGGACAAGATGCTACTGCCAATCAATTTCCATATCAAGTTTTCATGAAAGTGCAATATGATAAGCACAATGGCGCAACATGCGGTGGAGTTTTGATTGGTAAGAATTGGGTACTAACCATCGCCAAATGCACACAGAAGTAAGTACGTCTACACTGCGTAGAAAATTATAAACTATATAATCAAAATCCATCATTATAGTGTCACTAATGCTACTCTGTACTTGGGTAGCAATGAGCGCAACAGTTTTCCCGTTGTTATCAGCGTGCAAGAAAATGAAATTTTTCCACATCCCGACTATAACCCGAAATATCACAACAACGACATTGGTTTAATAAGAATACCACCACTGACGCTGAATGACACTGTAAATATTATTAGACTGCCTTACATGGGTACCACGAACACTTATGCTGATCAATATGCTTATGCTGTTGGTTGGGGTGACACTAATTCAGGTATATGAACCGAATGTATTATATTAAATAATTTGCTTTGATGTTGGAACTCTAATCGCTTTAAGCTAATAATCCACAAGTTCTGCAATATGCAGCTTTTGAAGTTATGACGAATGCACGTTGTGCTGCTATTTATGGTTCTTTAGTTGTGACGGCCGGAACAATGTGCATACGCACCACGGATGGCATATCACCTTGCTACGGTGATGCTGGTGGTCCATTAGTATTGGAACATGAAAACATTTTAATTGGTTTACAATCATTTCAAGCGACCGGTGGTGATAGTTGCTATGCTGGTTACCCATCAGGCCTCGTTAGAGTCTCTTACTATTTGGATTGGATCAAAAATATAACCGGCATTGTATATTATGATTATTGTACGTGTAAGAATTAATATAAATAAAATTTGATCAAATATAATAAAAATAATAATTAGTTAATATTTTGCAAATGAAATTAATGTTTCTTTATTTGTAACTATTGAACAGGTCTATCTAGAGGTCTGTCTGTTTTTTTTTTCATTATAATAATAAGTTATTGCCAGAAGAGAGTGAAAGCAAGTGGGTAAATTCTGTCTAAAACAACACAAAAACTTATCTTTTCAAGTTTAATGAGATACTATGCGATATGGTATTTTCTCAAACGATTTCACATTCTATGGTATATGTTCAATCGAATTCATAATGCTTACTTAGTTGGCTTAGTTGGTATTTACTGACGAGTACCGACCTTATTTCCATTCACTAGTCTCCGTCAGCCAGCCTAGTGTAACGCTCGTTATGAACAGCGTTCTCCTGATTGCAAATGAAGATGTTGAAATTACTATCGCAATATGTCAATACTTGAAAAAGTGTGGAAGAGGAGTTGTACGTAAATTTGACGAACTAATTTAATCAGTTACAATAAAAGTTCATTAATCAAGTGAACTATAAATGTAGATCTTCCATATATGTCGGTGCATTAAGTAGGTTTAATTACTGGGCTAACCTACCTCCAATTCTTTTCACAAAATTATGTTTCAATCTATTTTATTTTCTACTATTTCTTCTCTTCATCACTTTATCTTCCTCTTTAAGTTAAATTACTTTGTAATTCAAAAATGCAAGCAGATATTTGTGAGGATAACCTATTCTTTTTTTAAAGTTGGATTGTTCAGTTAAAACTATTAAAGACCATTGTGAGTAAAAACATGTAGAACCCTCCAAAAAATAGAAATGAAAGAACGAAAATTTTTTATCAGGCATAGGTGAACTTTGAAGCATCCCTCAGCTATATGAAATGCGTCTGTTGAATAAAGTCGTCATTTGTTGATACAGTAAAAGTAATTTCACTGAATTAAATAAGTTGAAGCATTCTCTCCTATATTATATATCTTACTAAGTTCTTGAAGCAAAAAAAAATGATTTTTCAAAAAGGCACAGTTTTGTTAGAATTGTAAATTATATATATTAACGACTAAAGGTAAAAGTTTTTTTAAAATCTCTTATAATTTAATTATTTCAGATATTGAACAGGTGTCAATATTTGTACTTCTCACAGGGTATTTAATGTATTAAACACCCGCAGGAGCTCTTGAGTTACTAATTTCTACAATTTGGATATTTGCTTAAAATACTTGTTACCAAAGTAAGTAAATTGTCCTACCTGAAAATCGCTATTAAGTTTAAATATATTTATTTATTTAATTTGAAACTGTACTAACCTTCCTAGAAATATCCAATATGGGTTTATTACATCATATTCGCTATATACATGACCTTATCAAAGGTCATGTACTGATTATTAGAAAAATAAATTACGCTGTTACTTCCAATAGATGCTTGATAGATTTCATTCCTCTCTGCGTCAGTACACATTACGCTATACAGATATTGCGGAGTCATCAATATTTTGAAGACATGCATCTCATACATATCCCCGAATTCGGCTTTGTGAAAAAGTAACAGCGTTTTCAAAATATTAGTGGATGCCATGATTTTTGTTATTCAAACGAATTGCCACCTGTCACAAATTTTTATAACTTTTCCAAATATTATGAAAAATATTGGTAAACCACTACGGTTTAACCAAGAGAAATTTTTAAAAAATATGCTTCACAAATAAAATTTAGTTATAAAATTTATTTAATATTTGCTTTCATTATAGAAATTAAACAATACAATTAAAAAATTTTATTTTCTGGTTGTTATGATTAAAAAAAAGTACTTAAATACTTTTTTCAGAAATTTCCTTTAATATATGTAGGAACAAGATATTCCATTTTTTATACCTTCTAAAAAATAGGATTCTTCGAGTTCGAAAGTTATAAATTAATTACAGAACTTAAGTCGAAATTCAATTAATGGTATTTATTCCCACTGTTATTGCCATCCTTATGAATCCTTATTGACGACTTTGTTTATGTCGTCTCTTTCTCTTGTTTTTATTAGATTATTCATAAGTTTGCTGAAGTTATTGACATGCAAATATTAATATATAGCAAGCATACAGTATTGCTTGAAACATCTATATTCAATTAGGTGTATGTTTATTCTTAATTTACCTCCCCGTAAAGTCCACTCAGATATATTTAGTAAGCTATTCCATCGTTCTCGCCATTCAGTTTTTGTACTCTTTGTATTTCTCTCTCTTTCTCTCACCATCTTTTTCTCTCTCAATTTCTCTCTCTCCCTCTCTTTCTCTATTCATTTCTCTCTCAATCTCTCTTTGCTTTTTTCAGATCACTCGCAGTTTTACGTGTGCCATTGGCATGTACCATAGATGCTTATAAAAATATATTAATAAAATTTGGGCTTTAAGGCAATGAATTATTTATTTGAGAATTTATTTGAGAAAGTAAGTAACATATAGAAACATACAACTAAGTACACCCTAGTGCTATATTTTAATTTTTAAATTAAATTATTTTTGATTTCTAGTTCAATTTTTTTTCTTTTATTTACATTTTTAGTGACTGATATAATTATATTAATGGAAGTTTATTTAAATTTATTTATTTATTTGTTATATACATATTATTGAATTTATGAAATATAGAGAGATATTGGGGATCTTCTATGTTGAAAATTGTTGTTAACGATAAGTTTTCTTTTCTACAATTTCTAATGCTATAAAATACTCAGTATTTCCGATCAACTATGTCCTTTTCCATATATGTATATCCTTTTTCTAATATCCTCAATTGACTTACGTATTTACCAAGTTTTTTTCTTCTCAATTTTTTTCTATCTAATTTTATGAAAGAAAAAAATCAAAAAACTGTTTTCCATTTGCCCAAAATAGTAATGAAAGAAAATCATATTCATTTTGTGTAAGTTGAATCTGGAAAATTGAAATCAAATCACTTTACGTGCTACGCATACAAACATTGCTCAAGCAAATCCAACAAATTTCAACGAGTGCCAGCAAGGACATTAGCACATAAAACAATTTAGTCTGAACTTTTTCTTCCCATTACAGGAATGCTTCCTCAGTTGGCAGCATTGCTGTGCTAGCGCCACTAACAAACTTACTAAATCTCAAACAAAAAAAAACCTAAATTGTAATTGTGTATGTCGGTTGGTGTATATCGACACCCCTCCTTTCCCAAGTACTAGATAGAGTGTAAGGACTATGTTGATTTGACTTCGTATTCCTGTTTGCTTCAATGTTTGTCGGAGCACTCATAAATGCTAAGAACGACAATGTCGTAAGTGAATTCGTGCGTTGCTTAAATAGTTTTCATTGCAAATGGGCCAAAGGAAATGAAAACTGAATTGGGAAGTTGGCAGCATTTTCGCACGCACCTGCCATGATGACGACTGCAATTTTCTCATGTGTAAATATATTTTTCCTCTTCCTGCTGAGATGTTAGTGAAGGACTGTAATGTTGCAAGGACTTTAACTGCCGTTTGTGTAAATATGCAATTGCTTTCCTTTATTTTTATTATGCGTTTTATTGATATGTTGACGGAGTGTGAAAGGAAATTGAAAATGATTTTAGTTAACGAAAACTGTTTATAAGGAAATTTTATTGAGAACTGATTTAAAAATAAATATCCTTTTATATATCTGATAAACAATAATACGTAAGAAATAAGTACAAGAAATTGTCGTTTTTCTTGTCAGAATAGTTCTCATTATCAATCACCCAACAAATGTAATGTATTTCATATCCTTACAGATTGTTGAATAAGTGTGCAGCACGCCATCTATACGACCACAGTAGAGTGAAAGTTTCAATTGGATTTTATTATTTCATCTTTCGTAATAATAAAGCAGAAATTTTTACTCCAGTATTTCAAATCATTCTTCGTTTACAAAGCATTTGAAGTCAAGCTGCTTGTATCTAATTTCGTCTGAATACCTGGTCACTATATATAGCTCCATCCATTCTTCTTACTCTTCAAAATTATTTGTGAAAAACGATTTTTATTTAACAAAAAGGTAACTGCCGAAGTAAGGATCTTGCATTATATTCGGAACACCACCACAACTATGTGTCAGTGTATCTTTTAAACATGAAAAAAATGTTACTGTTGTTAGTTCCTTTATCTCCTTGAGGAGCATAGAGCCTCAGCGATGCATTTCCATCTCGTACGATTGTTTGGGATCACTTTCTCTGACTTACCTCAAGCAAAGTCTAGGCATGTAGCATTCATCTTCATGTTGTTTACGTATGTCCTCTTTTTCATCTACCTTATAAAATCCAAGCCAATGATTGACGACATATTTCGGTTGAACCCTTACGAAACGTATGACCAATCCAGCGCCATTCAGTAGAGTTTTTTCATTGGTTATATTTTGCTACTAAACTCTTATAATTCGTCTCAGGCATCTGTTTGCGAAGCTTTGTGCTTTCGGTATAAAAAAAAAATGGATTAATTTAATTTTTTGTAAAAAAAGATTCAAGATCAATTAAAGCTCATGCCAGAATCGCGAATGTATTAAGCCAATGTGCATATTTAAAACAAAGATTTGTAAGTGGACTGTTTAATAGTGGCCATATAAGTCGTTCCACATAAAATATGTTAAATTAACACACGAAATTGTTTTGAATCCATTGTTTTGAAAATAACAAAAGTAGCTTTACTTAAATGGTTGTCACTTTTATTTGACTAATCAAAATGTCATGAAATTTTACATATAATCTTTTGAAGGTTGATAAACATCATATGAATTTGACAATGACAGCGCCATCTGTGTGTCAGTCACACGACTTATTGAGTGATGAGTTATAAGCACAAATTGTTGCAGTAACCAACCTCTTCACCATGTCTAGTTTCGTCTGAGTTTCGTCTTATTCACTATATATAACTCCATCTGGTTCTTCTCATGCTTTAAAGAGTTATTTTGTGAAAACAATCGCAGAGGAGTTTTGTAGACCATTCGAAACATCACTACAACGATAGTATTCATTAATTGTCGGATCCATGAACTTAAGCTGAAGGAAAATGGAAAACAATGTCATCTTTATAATTAAAAATAAGTTTTCTCACTTTTGCTCCTAGAACTTATTGTACACCCTAATATGTCGTCTGTAAAATCTTAAACAATTGTTAATGAAATTCCATTTATTTACTTTAGATTATTCAGTACTGAAATATAATTAACCCTTAATGCTCTTATATATTCTTATATATTCCTATATTTTTAAAATAGTTTATATTATTTAATAAAACAATTAACAACACACTATCTTTACTAACTATTTTTCTTGAGTGTCACAACAATTTGAGTGCCAAAAATATAATGCAAAAAAATATAGATCGAAATAAGTGTCATATAATGCTATATCTTATTCCAAATTTTAATTAATTTTTTAATGATATTTAATTAAAATGAAAAACTGTTTATATTGTTATTAAAACTTATCGATAAATTAGTTAATTTTACTACACACACATAATAACAACAACTGTTTGTAATGAAATAATTGTATTCATGAAGAAAAATTTGTGAAAACCGATTATATATAATAGATATGAATAGTTTTATGAATGTAAGCATAACAATTACAATCATAAATATAACAAAGCTTTGCGAATCCGGAATTTTGGACATGGCGATAAGGTTTAAAATTTATCTGCTTATCAATACATTTGCGACTTAACAAATCAAAACGTCACGTCAAATTCAAAAAGAATAGCGCTACTAAACCGGTGAGAATATACAGTTCCCATTAAATTTGTTGTTATATTTTATGTCTAAAATATAAAACACAACTTATAAAAACAGAACATTTCTCTAGAACGAATTCAGTCACTTTTTGTAGGCAACTAAAGATATGAAACTGTCGCATTTAGTTGTAGTTATTTTTTCCGCAATCGTTGCGGTGTCTGCAAACAAAATTCCGTTTCAAAGCTCGGCAATATATCTACGGGATCTAACAGCAGCACAAGGACGCATCACAAATGGAGAGAATGCAGCTGAAGGCCAGTTTCCTTATCAGGTAGCGTTAACGTTCACTAGTGCGAAAAGTGGTGGCTGGTCATGCGGTGGCTCTATAATCGGACATGAATGGATTCTAACAGCTGCACACTGTACCAAAGGGTAATACATATGTATATATAACAAATTAGAGTTCTTATAATAACACTTGTTTCGTAGTGCCTCATCTGTTGATATATATATGGGCTCCACTATACGTTCAAATCCGAGATTAGCATATACTGTTGATAGCAATAACTTTATACAACACAAAGGCTACAATTCGTTAACTACAACAAACGACATCTCTTTGATTAGGATACCATTGACATCTTTTAATGAGTACATTAGTAGCATTGCACTTCCTAAAATAACTTCGGTTTATTCGAGCTATACTGGGCAGAAGGCAATTGCATCTGGTTGGGGTTTAACTACCGATTCTTACCTATCCGCACCGGCTAGTTTGCAATATGCTTTCCTACAAGTTATTGATAACAGCAAGTGTGTGCTTAGCTATGGACCACTGACTGTGGTCTCAAGCACAATTTGTACTTCCACCACAGATGCCATATCCACATGCCAGGGTGATTCCGGCGGACCACTAGTCTTACTATCGACGCAAGAACTTATTGGTGTTACTTCATTCGTTAACACCGCTGGCTGTCTATCTGGCCGTCCAGCAGGCTTTGCACGTGTAACCAGCTACTTAGACTGGATTAAGGAAAATACAGGCATTTACTATTAATTGTTGTTAATATTTAACCATAAAATAAAAGCTCTTTATTGTCAAAAGTATTTTGAGTTTTTGAAGTGTAAGCTCTTGAGATTAAAATGGCATAATATTTAATCAGTTGCAGTTCACTGATTTTACTTTAGATTGTTGATATCTCATAATTTCTAGACCTATAAATACCTGTTTAGTATTCCAATAATTCAGTTAAGTTTTAACTGTTGTGAGAAATGAAATTGCTTTTAGTATTCGCTTTGGCCTTAGCCACCACTTCGGCCGACTTATTGTCACGAAATGTTGTCCACCAACGAGACTTGACATTTACACCACTTATTGATGGACGTATTACTAATGGTAAGGATGCAGTTGAAGGTCAATTTCCTTATCAAGTTGGTGCTAGCTTCTCAAGCAGTAAAGGATCTTGGTGGTGTGGTGGTTCTATAATTGACAACGAATGGGTTGTCACTGCAGCTCATTGCACCAGCGGGTAAGCACAGCACACAGCGCTTTGAAAATTTTATAAATACTAAATACTTTTATTCATATTATAGAGCTACTTCAGTGACTCTTTACTTTGGAGGTGTTGTACGTACCAGTCCTGAGCTTAAGGTCACAGTCAGCAGTTCAAACTTTATTCAACACAGCAGTTACAACTCTATTACAATCAGGAACGACATTTCTCTTATCAAAATTCCAAGTTTGAGCTTTAATAAGAATATCAACAAAGTTAATTTACCAAAGAAGGCTTCATCTTACTCAACTTATGCTGGTGATGTAGCTATTGCATCTGGCTGGGGATTAATTAGCGATTCTGCAACCGCTGTTCATTCCAAATTGCAGTATACTCCATTGGAAGTTATTACAAACGCTGAATGCAGTGCAGTCTTTGGTAAATTGCTTGTTTATTCAAGTACTATTTGTGTTGCCACACCAGCCGGTACCTCAACTTGCCAAGGTGATTCCGGTGGCCCATTGGTTTATGGCAATGATTTGATTGGTATTACTTCATACGGCTCATCTGCCGGTTGCGAATCTGGTTCACCAGCTGCCTTTACTCGTGTCACAAGCTACTTGGACTGGATCAGTGCAAATGCTGGAATCTAAAAACTTTTAATTATTATTGTAAATATAATTTCTTAAAATGGTGCTTTTCATTACTTTTTAAGAGAACTAGCTATTGTTTTGATTTAAATCAACTTAAATAAATTGATGAAACATAAAATTATAAAGACTTTTCAACTTTCAACTAAATTATGATTTAAATCGAATATCGATCGCTTCAATATCACACAGTAATAATATATCTATATTTGTACTCATGTGTTACATACATAATTGAACTAGAGTTAGCATGAAGAAGCGCACTTTACCAAATTGCAATATATTAGTAACAATGCGTTTAGTATAGGTACTAACTGTGATTCGTTATATTATGTACAAAAAGCAATTGCATCCGATTCTTGTATATCTGCATCAATGAGTTTACTATATACTTTCTCCTAAATTATTGATAGTAACAAACAAGTGAGTACTCAGCTGTGCACCATTTACTGTTAAATAAATCATCACTTGCATATCTAACTCAAAAACCGGGGTGTCTCCAACGAATTATTTACAATAATATCAACGCAGGAACTTAAAGGTGTTATTTCATTTACTAATGCAGTTAGCTGACTATTTGAGTACCCAGAACAGGTAACTGGAATTGTTATAAATATTTAAAATGAATATAAACATTCAAAAATGTTTGAAATTTTGAAATGTGGGTTCTTTGGATTAGCTATGCAAAATATTTAAATAACTACAGTACACTGATTTTAGATTAGTTGTGCCTTATGAGTGCTTAGACTCTAAATACGTTTTCATTATTCCAATATTTCAGTTAAGATTAAACTATTGCAGGAAATACAATTTGTTTTAGTATTCGCTTTAGCCTTAGCTTTAAATTTTTCTTGTTGGAAATTAATTAAAATAATCTTTTTTATTAAATAATGATTTGAAATTGAATTTTAAGTATATGCATAACATATATATATATATATGTATTATGAGTTATACTTTCTCGTATGAAAAACATTATAACTTTTTATTTTCATATTGGCCACTACGGATATATCCTAAATAGTTGAAACTATAATGATTGAAAATTAGAAGGTATATGATATACATTATCTATCCAAAACCTGTTCGCTGACTTGGTCATGTCGTGCTTATGGAAGAAAGTACTCCGGCTAGAAGGGTGTTTGATTTGGTATATGCAAGTGAAAAACGCGGTAGAGGACATTCGCATCTTCGGTGGAAGGACTTGGTGACCAACAATTTGCAGCACTCGGTACTACCAATTGGCGACAGCAAGCAAACAAGGACGACTCACGTCTGTAATGGCCAATATATATATAATATATATGGACCATATATATAAGTAAGTCCAAAATCGAATAATACTCACTAGTTCTGTTTTCTGTTTTTGTTTACTCACAAAAATATGAAATGTTGTACTTTCCAATCTTCTTAGAATTCGTAGTCTGTCAGAAGAAGTAGCACTTTAGTTTAAATATAGTAGGTTGTACTTTTCTCTATCCTAGTTTCTTCTTCTTTGAGTATCACCGAATATTCTGTGTAATTACTCTTCTATGAGTATATCGAAGTCGATGTGTTACTCATTACGAGTGACTTTTGATGCCGGTACTTGTTCACTGTCTTCGACGTCTTCATAACCGTTATAGATTAGGCCAAACCAATAGAAAACTTGTCGGTGGCTAATATCTTTATTGTTATACATTCAATTTAAGATTTCTTGCCATTCCGTGTCCGTGTGTAACATAAAATATAAAGTCACAACAAAATATTAAATAAATTTACAAAATTTTTAACTGCAAGAAGATAATGTGTACTCGATTTGCCTAATATCATTCACTCACAGATGTCACTACACAATGAATCAGCTTTAGCAGATCAAGGACTGATAATTATTTGAGGTACTAAATTTTTAATGTTCTGACATTTCCTTTGTACCACAGCTATATTCTTCATGTGATAATTTAGTCTGCAGTGTCCTGTAAGTAGTCCAGTGTCGCTTCTGTTCAGGTTAAGAATAACGTCAACTTTAATTTGTTCAGGATCAATAAATATTCTTGACTGCCACATGTCAGCTTCTTAGATATTTATTAATTTAAAATTAATTGCTTTCATAAAGTAATGATTAGAAAAGAATTTTTGAAATATTGCAAATGTCCTGATTTATCTGATTTATCTGAAGATTATACCTTTTAAAAATGCATTGAACTGTGTTCTTGATGGTTAGATAAAGCAAATCCCAGGTAGGCTTGTCATCAGCACAGATAGTATAACATTTTAACATTTTAACAGCTCCGGCCTCTTACCACTACTCTTCATCACGGCTCTTTCCCTTGTCCACGAAAACATCAACACCCAATTGACATTTATTGACGTCTAAATACCAAATTTGGTGAACCTTCAGGATTTGCAGAGAAACACTGACATCTTCTCTAAAGGTTTCCGAAAAATCGGATTAAACATTAATATCAGCAAAACCAAGTGCATGCGCATTAACACCAACAACAACAATCCTATAATTATCAACAAAACTCAGATTGGAAATGTTCGCAGTTTGACTATATAGGAAACAAAATTGATATTTGTGGTGGTCCTTTAGTTGAGATCTAAAATGTTTAACAATATATGACATTACAGCAAAATATAAAAGTACTTATTTATAATCCTTGCGTCAAATCTGTTATATAGGAATGGATGCGTAACGTGGCATACACCAAGTGCTGTTAAAACAAAAATACAAGCTTTTAGCAATAGATGTTTGCATACAAGTTTAAGAAACTGGTACCCTAGAATAATAACAAATAGTCAACTATGGCGCATTACTGGCTAAAAACCGATGGTACGCCTTTGAAAGTATATTATAGATGGCTGGGACACACGCAACATAAGCAAACAAACCTTAAGACCACAGAAATAGAGGATGACCAAAAATTACATGGCGTAGAACAATTACAAATGAATCACATCAAGAACTATAAATGAACTAAGATTTATGGTACAAAATCGTCAACTTTGAAGAAACTTTCTTACGGATTTAAATGAATAGGCTAAGTTCTATGAATTATTTGTGTTGAACATGCATGTAATAATAATAATATATTTGATTTAATTAGAAAGTTAAAAATAATCATATTATTGTGTATGAAATCTTTAGATCATTTTGAAAAAAAACTATTTATATACAACTATTTTTTAGACAAATAATATGAAATGCTAAGCCTTTTCCGAGTTAGTGCCTCTGGGCACTTTTACTCTATGATAGCTGCCGGGATTCTGCAGAGTCCCGCCTATCTCACTGACTAATTTGAGTATTCCTGATAATCTTCATGATTATTCAATGATTGATCTAAGATCTGCGTACCACCCCATGCTGTTAGTGATTACTCTGAGATTAGATAGTGCTAAGTAAGGCAGCCTGTCGGTTTTCATATATAACTTTGTCCCTTATGTATTTTTTGACCGGATCTATTCTAAGCTCACTAAAATAAAATCAAGGCACTAATTGAATAGCACATCTTTTAACGACGACTCGAATGTAATTAAATCAATCATCAAATTAACACATTTATACTCATATATAATATATATTTTTCATATATATGTATATTATTTGAACTGTAAAAAAGTATATATGCTTAAATAAATAATTCATTCATTGTTAATAAAACATTTCTTTGGTATGAATAAAATAAAATATATATTTTTTACATCACTTTGTATCTATCAAAATACTCAGTACATTCAATATATATATGTATATATATACTTAGATCCTTTAGATTGACAAATTTATATTGACGATGATTAGGTGAATTTATTTTTTAAAAAATAATCACGGGTTCATAAAGAACTTTTCTTTCTTCTCTTTCTTATTTACTTTAATTTGTTTTGATTGTCGCAATTAAAAATTGTCTAATCAAAGCCATAAATAAAAATGTCTTCAATACCTTTAAGTATCGCAATGGATTAGTTTTGATTTCTATATGTGCACTTGATAAGCAAATTAAAAAAGTATTGAACCCAAGAAAATAAATAAAAATAAAAAATATAAGATTGCAAAAATAATTTTGTATACAAATATGAATTTTTTTTTTAAATTAGAACATATCGAACTAAAGCTAGCACGTAACTTTAAATCAATTGCAATCAATTAGATAACAGGAAATAACGAATATATCTTTTTGGAAAAAAAGACAAATATCAATTTGGTATAAATTGATTCAAAATGCTGGAAAGAAATTAGTTGTTAACTTTTGTTTGAAGTCAACACAGAATGAAATTTTTGATTGTTTTCGCTTTGGCTTTAGCCGTCGTCTCTGCTGATGTGCCAGTGCATCCAAAGGATTTGCCAGCTTCTGGCATTCCAGAAGGACGCATCACCAATGGCAAGACTGCAACTGCTGGACAATTCCCATATCAAGTTGGTTTGAGTTTTTCAAGCAGCTCAGGTGGCTGGTGGTGTGGCGGTTCCTTGATTGAACCCACAGTTGTTTTGACTGCAGCTCATTGTACAAGCGGGTAAGTGATTTGTATATTTAAGAACTAAATAGTTTTTATCTAGCTAGCCATTTATTTACGAAATTTCTGTCATTATAGTGCCTCAGCTGTTACTGTATACTTGGGTGCCACCCAACGCACAAATCCTAAGCAATCTTTCACTGTTAACAGTTCCAACTTCAGACAACACTCAAGTTATAATTCACTTACTTTAAACAATGATATTTCTATTATCATCATACCAGCAGTGAGCTTATCATCAGATATTAACACCGTTGCATTGCCAGCGGTTGCTTCATCCTACTCTACTTATTCCGGAGACAATGCAATTGCTTCTGGCTGGGGTTTGACCAGTGACAAAGCCACCGCCGTGGCTAGCAATTTACAATACGCTACATTGAAAGTCATTGACAACAGCGTTTGCCAAAAAACTTATGGTAGTCTTACAGTCAACTCGAAAAGTATCTGCACTGCTACAACAGACGCCACATCAACTTGCAGTGGTGACTCCGGTGGTCCATTGGTCTTGTCATCAACCAAGGTGCTTATTGGTGTTACTTCTTTCGTTTCATCTAAAGGCTGTGAATCTGGTCTTCCAGCTGGTTTTGTACGCGTTACCTCATACTTGGACTGGATCAAAGCAAATAGTAAATGATTTCCCAATAAAATTAAAATAAAAAATTTTTGAGATATATAAGTATACATGAGTGTTATTACCTTCAATAAGAATAATAGTTTTTCTTTACGACTTGATAAAGAAAATGGAAAATTCGATTTTGCTGTTAACAGTATTTGATTACAGAGTTCGGGAAATTTCTACATTATGAAAAACTTTTTCCCATAAGGATCATAACAATATCGCTAGCTTCTGATATATTGAGCTTTAAAGTTTAAAACTTTCTACATTAAATTAATGTAAAAAACTGTACACGCCATCTAGCGGAATACTACACAAACCATTTTATCGTTTTTGGCTGGTTTGTGTGTTTTTAAAGCACAAACTGGCAATTTTAAAGCTAGATAACTCTAACGGTAGCAACACCATATAGTAGAATGGAAAAAAAATGCTCCAAATTTTGAAGGTTAAGAAAATCCGAGATCGTGTCAAGAATGGCAACATTTCTTTTAAAAAAGGGGGACAATAAAAAAAATTATTTCAATGTAATTATTCTGATTTTTATGGAAACAGAATTTTACAAGAGATTCAATTATTCTACAGCTGGTTAATGATTTCGTTCTAATATAAACACAGCAAGTAAATTTGTTAATAAAACTTAAATAGCAAAGTAACAAAACTCCAGAAAAATGTGCGAACATAATAGTCAAATACGGTTTTGTGTCAGTTTATTAAGGTGCGCTGACTCTGAGCTTCAAATTTTGCAGGGCACAAGCTTGTTTCCTGGTACTTGCAGTCTCAAAAAGTTATTTACGAATAATTAAATACAAGACCTATAGTATTTCCAAGACCACTGATAATAGGTATTTGGCAATACTCGAAACAGCTGTATGGTTAGCCAAAAACTTAATTAATTAAAATAATATAAAATGAATTTTTGTTGTTGTAGTTCACTGCTGTTTGAAAAACCTCTTTAAAAAGTACGTTATTTAAATAATTATTAAAAATTAGTTTAAATAATTTACATAATTTTAAAATACAAAAAATATTATTTCAATATATATAATATAATATAATCATTAATTATTTCTAGATATACATAGTTTTTATATAAAACAAAAAAATTCTAGCATTAATTTTAGGATGGTGTTCCAATATCTAAAAAACAAGGTTTCATAATTAATTCTGGACAAAATTCAGTTATGTTTAAGTGGACACTAATCTACTGAATGTACTGATGTCTAATAAAATTTTTTAAAATAAGTGAGTATCTTAATAAAGGCATTATTAAATTTTCACTTCATATGATAAAATTAAGCTAATCCCTCAACTATCAATATTAATTCAATATAAAAATCCATTTTTTGTATTTTGCTGATCAAACAATTAAAAAACTTAAGTATTGACAAAATCCCCACACATGTATTTATTTTTCTTGGAATTTACTCAAATATACATTTGTTTTGGACCCATATCCTAATATTAACTGAATTGTATGAATTTTGAACTGAAATAGAAGAGACAGAAAATATAAAATATTAGCATATGTGTATATATATTGCTAAATAAAGTACTTTACCAATCTCTCCTGGATTAAAGATGATTTCCATTAAGAAACAAAAAAAAACTGCGAAATTAGAAAAAAGAAGCCCATTGCCGAACTTCATTAGGACTGAGCCAGACTTCAAGTTGTATAATAAATGCATCTGCAAATATCGCCAGTCTGTTAAAAAGCTTCACATCCATTCTTCTACAGCATACATGACCTAGTTGTGCAGCTCCAATTGCGGATCGATAGAAAGCATACACTTCATGAAGCTCCGGTTCTCCAGAGCCCAATATTATTAAGAATAAAGACGAATGTTCCAAATTTGCGTCGAAAGACATAAGAAGTTGTCCAAAATTACCTGCGTAGAACAAAGTATTGACCTCCGCCATTGTCAATTGTTCTATCTCATTGGCAGCCATAACAAAATGTATATAAGAAACCAGGTTATACTTTTTGGTTTTGTGTGGGTATTATAATTTTTTGTTGATCAAATTTTGTTACTGAAAATTTTTATATATTCAATTTAAATATTTTTTTATTTAAACAAAGAAAAGAAAAACAAATTAAAAAAATAAACGATTACTTTAATTATTTTTTTACGTATAAGAAAATAAGTGGAAAATTTGTAATATATGTACCTTATTGGATATATATTATCATAAAACAGTTCTCAAAAGTATCTATGAAATTATAAGTGAAGCGACGTTATTTGGCATCGTTAGAGTATATAATTGAAATTGAATCACACGTATTTTCAGTTAAATACTTATAAGATAAATATACCTATAAGATTTCTTGGAGGTTCCTTTAAAAGAATGCGATCTAATGTTTTTAATATCCTAGTATGCAATACTCTCGTAACTCTTGTATTTCAGACGTCATGTGCACTATTGACGTAATACCACCATGTAGCATGCAATATTTTTATAAAAGTTTCTTATACAATTTATAAGATATTTCTCCATATTCTCTATAGACAAAATACATGCCATATTTATGAACCGTTTCTTAAAGTCAATAGGATTTGAAATCCTTTTTAGCGATATGAATATAACGACATATTGATTGTTGCAACTCTATTTTTATTAAAATTGTATGTATAAAATATTTTAGTGTTTTCACAAATTAAATGACATATATTAAATATATGAGTTATAATTTCTATTATTAATTTTCACATCAACAACGATAAGTATATAAATGACATATATAAGTTCTAAAAGCTTTTGAAATAATATAATATTTAATATAATAATTTGACAGTACTATTTAAGTGTCATATGTCAAACGGAATTGTTATCTTATAACATGTTCACACTTGCCTCATTTAGATAATCTTGCTCGTTAAGGTCTCTAATGAGAATAAATAACCATACAATATACTTCTATACTCATATAAATGAGTTCATTATAAATAAATCAACTAATTTAAGGCGCAAAATGTCCAATGCAATCCTTTAAAATAAATT